TCTGATGTCTGAATGTATGTAGTCGGATGTCTGTGTATGTATATGCTATGTCTGTATTGTCTGTATGTCTGTATGTCTGTATGTCTGTAGTCTGTAGTTCTGATGGATGTATGTCGGTATGTAGTATGTCTGTATGTCTGTGATGTATGTATGATTACTGTCCTGTATATGTCGTAGGTCTGTTATGTCTGTATGTTGAGCGTAGTCGTATGTCTGTATGTCTGTATGTCTGTCTGTATGTCTGTATGTCTGTATGTCTGAATGTCTGTATGTCTGTATGTCTGTCTGTCTGTCTGTATGGATGTATGGATGCATGGATGTATGGATGTATGGATGTATGGATGTATGGATGTATGGATGTATGGATGTATGGATGAATGGATGTATGGATGTATGGATGCATGGATGTATGGATGTATGGATGTGTGGATGTGTGGATGGATGTATGGATGTATGGATGTATGGATGCATGGATGTATGGATGTATGGATGTATGGATGTATGGATGTATGGATGGATGGATGTATGGATGTAGGGATGTAGGGATGTATGGTTGTACGGATGTATGGATGTATGGATGTATGGCGTATGGATGTATGGATGTATGGATTTTTGGATGTATGAATGTATGGATGTGTGGATGTATGGATGTGTGGATGTATGGATGTATGGATGTATGGATGGATGGATGTATGGATGTATGGATGTATGGAGGGACGGATGTATGGAGGGACGGATGGACGGATGGACGGATGGACGGATGGACGGATGGACGGATGGACGGATGGACGGATGGACAGATGGACGGATGGACGCATGGACGGATGGACGGATGGACGGATGTACGGATGTACGGATGTACGGATGTAGGGATGTAGGGATGCATGGATGTAGGGATGTATGGATGTATGGATGTATGGATGTATGGATGTATGGATGTATGTATGTATATATATGTATGTATGTATGTCTGTATGTCTGCATGTGTGCATGTGTGCATGTGTGCATGTGTATGTGTGTATGTGTGTATGTGTGTATGTGTGTATGTATGCATCTATCTATCTATCTATCTATCTATCTATCTATCTATGTATGTATGTATGTATGTATGTATGTATGTATGTATGTATGTATGTATGTATGTATGTATGTATGTATGTATGTTGTATGTATGTATGTATGTATGTATGTATGTATGTATGTATGTATGTATGTATGTATGTATGTATGTATGTATGTATGTATGTATGTATGGAGTATGTATGGAGGTATGTAATGTTGTATGTATGTATGTATGTATGTTAGTTATGTGTGTTTGTATTATGTATGTATGTATGTATGTTCTGTTTGTATGTATGTTATGTATGTATGCATGTATGTTATGTATGTATGTTATGTATGTATGTTATGTATGTATGTGATGTATGTATGTTATGTATGGATGTTATGTATGTATGTCATGTATGTATGTTATGTATGCATGCTATGTATGTATGTAATGTATGTATGTTATGTATGTATGTTATGTATGTATATTATGTATGTATGTTAAGTATGTATGTAATGTAGTAGTGCAAGGTAAGGAGGTAAGGAGTAATGTATGTAATGTATGTAAGTTATGCAATGTATGTGCTGTATGTACTGTATGTACTGTATGTACTGTATGTACTGTATGTACTGTATGTACTGTATGTACTGTATGTACTGTATGTACTGTATGTACTGTATGTACTGTATGTCCTGTATGTGCTGTATGTGCTGTATGTGCTGTATGTGCTGTATGTGCTGTATGTGCTGTATGTGCTGTATGTGCTGTATGTGCTGTATGTGCTGTATGTGCTGTATGTACTGTATGTACTGTATGTACTGTATGTACTGTATGTACTGTATGTACTGTATGTAATGTATGTAATGTATGTAATGTATGTAATGTATGTACTGTATGTACTGTATGTACTGTATGTACTGTATGTACTGTATGTACTGTATGTACTGTATGTACTGCATGTACTGTATGTACTGTATGTACTGTATGTTTTGTATGTTTTGTATGTACTGTATGTACTGTATGTACTGTATGTACTGTATGTACTGTATGTACTGTATGTACTGTATGTACTGTATGTCATGTATGTCATGTATGTCATGTATGTAATGTATGTAATGTATGTAATGTATGTATTGTATGAAATGTATGTGATGTATGTAATGTATGTGATGTATGTAATGTATGTAATGTATGTAATGTATGTAATGTATGTAAAAATATGTAATGTACGTATGTATGTATGTATGTAATGTAATGTAATGTAATGTAATGTAATGTAGTGTAGTGTAGTGTAATGTAGTGTAGTGTAGTGTAGTGTAGTGTAGTGTAGTGTATGTATGTATGTGTATATATATATATTTAATGTATATATTTACACATATTATGTATATATGATTATATGTGTATGTTTTTTTTATGTGGATGTATTAATGCAATTATATGTATACTGTATACATGTACATGAGGTACTTGTGTACCAGGCATCTCCAGGGAACGATGTTGACGGAGCGGCAGTGTTTGGGTGTCTTTGAGTTCTCTGGCAGTGTTTGAACATATTCAATTCATCACTTTACTGGAGGTTGGGATTTTAGTTTTCTATCTTTTGAATTTGTTTTTCTTAAGGGGTGCTATATATATATATATATTATATAATAATAATATATATATATATACATTATATATGTTGCTATAGGCTATATGGATAATTATGGTCTCAAAGTGTCTCAACAGTTCATTGGAGACCCAAATTGGAATGGATTACCAATAGAATAATAGAACACAGTCCCAAAAATATGGTCATATATGCTCGTTCTGAAAAGCATCATAAGTCATCATTGAGCAGATCTCCCCAGCGAGAACGTGACTTTTTGTTTTCTTATCCCATAAGCTTACTGGAGCTTAGTAGGGAATGGGGGAATGATTTAATCCGTACCTATTCATCATCCCATGCAGTGGCCTCATGCCGGTGATTCTAGATGAAAAATCGCGGCAAATGCAGGGATTTTGAACTTTACTGTTCGCCCCACCGCAACGTTTAATGGCTGAAGAGTGCTACCCCGGGACTAGAAAATCCGAACAATTCAGGATATTCAGAGCCATCGAAATTGGGTGAATTGCGAGAGGAACTATAAGTAAAACATCCCGCCGGGTGCGGAATCGCGCGTGTAGGCGCATCAACATGCTGAAAAAAATGACAACCCTTTCAGTGTTTCGTGGCCTTCTGATCAGGAAAAAAATGTTCCCAAAAAAGGTCATTTTTCTTTGATTTTGCAACCCTTACAGCACAAATTTCGGACCTTTTTTGCCTTGCCACTTTCATTGATCATTGTGCATGTAGACCTCACTGACTAGTGATTTGATGAGTTATTATCCTCACGATATGAAAGATCGCTATCATACCAAGCATATCCAATAATGACCAACATATGAAACTCTATCGTTACCGTGGTGAAAGACACTATCAACAGAAGTATGACAACCATTATAAATTATTATGATGCACTCCTCAAAACAGGTAACGGGAACACACGATATACGTTGACATCCCCACCCCACCCCACCCCATCCCCACCCCATGATCAGCGTAGCAGCAGTGGCGTGTTCAACTTCAACCGAACGTTCACATCTCCACCCCACCACATGCTCAGCGTAGCATGCGTGGCGTGTTCAAATGCTAACGAACGTGAACATCCCCACCCCACCCCACCCCATCCCCACCCCATGATCAGCGTAGCAGCAGTGGCGTGTTCAACTTCAACCGAACGTTCACATCTCCACCCCACCACATGCTCAGCGTCGCATGCGTGGCGTGTTCAAATGCTAACGAACGTTAACATCCCCACCCCACCCCACCCCATGATCAGCGTAGCAGCAGTGGCGTGTTCAACTTCAACCAAACGTTCACATCTCCACCCCACCACATGCTCAGCGTAGCATGCGTGGCGTGTTCAAATGCTAACGAACGTGAACATCCCCACCCCACCCCACCCCATCCCCACCCCATGATCAGCGTAGCAGCAGTGGCGTGTTCAACTTCAACCGAACGTACACATCTCCACCTCACCACATGCTCAGCGTAGCATGCGTGGCGTCTTCAACTGCTAACGAACGTTAACATCCCCACCCCACCCCACCCCACCCCATGTTGAAAATGTGTGTAACTACACGTACGGTTTGGCACCCGTTAGCTAAAACATGGCAGGAATGACACCTGCTGTCAATCCTGATGTCGTAAACCCACGAATAACAAACAATGGTTCAAATCAATCTGGTTTGTGCTGTAGGTTTTTACCCTTTGGAACCAGGTACTGAAGATTCCTGAGACACACTATTTGCCTAGGATGCTATAGATGATCTTCCATTCATAATTTCCAGGAGTCTGAGATTGATGGCTGTATCTAGGCTGGATTGTTTTGCTGTCATACGCACCATGAATTGGTGGTTTCAAGTTTCAATCCCAAACGTCCAGTCATCAACAATCAGAATTATCCCTTAAATATGGAAATGCACGTGAAAACAAACATTCAAGTTCCACCAGAGTTACATCTGCCAGTTCCGCAATCCGCATCAAGTCTGTCGGTGAAATCACCAACTGGTCAATACATCCAATCCCAATTTGGGAAGCAAAAAAAATCATCGACTCGATCTCTGATCCGTTTTTTCTGTATTTGAAACCCCGAAAGATATGGATGGTGGTTTCCAAAAAAGGGGGTAGCCCATTCTCATCATCCAAGTCATCATCCATTTCAGTAAAGGTTAACCTGGTTAACCCATGGTGACGACTGGGGATCCATCATGACTTACTGGTTGGTGGTTTCAACCCCTCTGAAAAATATGAGTTCGTCAATGGGAAGGATGACATCCCGTATATGAAATGGAAAATAACGGCCATGTTTGAAACCACCAACCAGCTGTAGGGAAAGCCCCATCGAAAGGTTCAGCCCGAAGATCGCCTCAAGTTGATTGGAGCCGGGACAGTTGGCACCTTCCGTGCAGGCCTGCCATGGAGCTGGGAAAATCTCTGAATTTTGCAGCTGTTTTATGGAGCTTTTCTGTTGGGAAAATTCACAACGGAAAATCAGAAAATCCGTGGAGGTTTTTCCATAGGAAGATCCACTATAAATGGAGGTTGTTTGTTGGGAAAATCATCTAAATGGAGGACTTTCCAGCCATGTTTGATGACACCAGAGGGTATCTCATTAATGTTTAATCAATGTAGTCGGGAAGCCAGCTTTTTGATTGATCTAAAGATATGTAAAGAGAAACACCTGGGGAGCAAAGTTGTTGACAGTGTTGAGTGATGAATGTAATTTTCATCTACTTTTTCAAACAAAGTGCTTAAAGCCGCTCACCAAAGACGCACCGATCTCAAAAACCAGTGTCCGATTGCTTCATAGATTTAAGGCTTTGTCTCAAATTACCCTAAAATGCAGCCGGTTGAGATCACACAATTTTTCTGTTGAGATCAACAATTTTTTGGGCTATGTGATATTCATACCCGGCCTGGTAAACTAACAGTTTGCTATTGAAAATGGTCATAGAAATAGTGGATTTCGCCATGAAAAATGGTGATTTTCCATAGCTATGTGACAGTTTACCAGAGGGTAAATCCCATATGTTCTGTTCCAAATCCACTTCGGTCTTTCCGACTTTTTGAGCGGTATGCCAAAAAGGTGACTTTTGAAATAGTCAAACTGTGCATGCTTTTGGGGCACCCTCATTTTTGTACACATCCATACATACATTACATTACATGAACATTAACATTAACATTAACATTACATTACATAACATGACATTCACATACATAACATGACATAACATAACATAACATAACATAACATATATACGTTTGAACGTCTCCTTGCATACAAAACCACCCATATATCACCCATATATTCCTCTCCTATCATGTTTCATCTACCATAAACTATAAACCCATGGTCGGTTTTTGAACCCAATTTTCAAGGTTGTTCCACGTCTACCCCGATAAAGGGGAAAATTGCTGTAGCATTTTAGAGGTCCAAACACCAATTTCCCCCCACAAAGAAGACATGTATAATTCATCATATTTCATCAGCGATCCCATGAAATCCCATTTTCAATAGCCATAGCCATTGCAAACATTAGCCATAGCCATAGCCATTGAATTATTTTATCATGGCCAGAGATGGTGAAACCTCCACGGGCCAAACGTCTTGGGGCCCTGCGGCCCCCACCTTGCATCGATCTTCAAAGAGAAAGGTGCCCTGGACACAGGCACAGTAGTCAGCAGAACTTGCTCCTTGCACCTGCCCGACAGAAATTCTGGTCACCAACAAAGAGAGAAAATTGGAAAGAAATTTGGAGAGAAATTCTGGCATTCGGAATTATCTAGTTGGATTGTTTATGATTGTTTCATCAAATTCTGTTTAAATTCTGTTTGGAAGTTTCTATCAAACAAGGTGAACAAGCCTCTGAAAACGGCGAAGAAATGGCAGGTCCGTCGTGGCTCGACAACATCAAAGTGGATCAAACTCTGCAAGTATAGTACCCAAACAAAAACTATCATGTCACCCTCTCTTTAGGGTGTGTTTGGGTTTTGTTTGGGGTTGTTTAGGGTTTGTTGAGGGTTTATCACTGTTTCATTTAGGGATTGTTTTTGCCACCACGGTGTTGATGAATCTTTACTTTCAAGGATTACCTAGGGTTGGGTTTCATGTCAGATTTAAGTTTTGGGGTTTAGGGTTTAGGGTTTCTTGTGTGTTGGAAACAAATCTCGTCAGCCATTTGGCCATTCCGCCGACATCCCAAAATGGAAACAACACTGGCCCTGAGCAGTCAAAACGCACTTCCCCGGGCAGCACCCCCGTCCTGGCCGTAAGATTATACCATATATATATAAAATATACAAACGAGTATGAAAGTCAAATTCTAAAATAAGAATGGTCAATTTCAATCTTTTCCTGTGTTTTCTCTGGGGATACTGGTTTTCATCCAGTCCTTCAACTTTGCGGAAAAACTGTACGCTCCGGGTGAAACGCCTCGTGTTCATGACTTCTGCCCGACTTTTGGTATGGACCAAAATGATTGGACCCCGGACCCAAAAAAAAACTTGTACGTGTATGCATATAAGTTATATTCTATAGTAAGTATACTGCATCTATATATATGGTTTTCACAAAATGTGGATCAATGCCCCAATAACTCGATCTGTAGCCACATCATAGGAGTGGCGATATCATATTATATTATGCATTATATCATAATATATCATAATATGCTATAATCATATATCCATTTATATCTATTTCTATCTATGTCTATCCCCTTTTTTCCCCATGAAGTGACGTTTTTGCCCATCTTTCATGGTGAAACCAGCGAGATCTTTGGCGCTGACCTGAATCCATCGACTGGAACCGTCGGACCCGGAATTCACCTCCAGACTAGTGGTCCATTGAGCCTCAGCTGGTAATGGGAGAAACCGACATGGTAAAATGTTGGGATTTACATGGTTTAATGGTGGTTTTTTTTCGGATTTCACCAACAAAGAGAACATGGTGATTTTAATGGGATTTGCCCTCTGGTAATGACGTTTACAGTTTGCGAACTGGAAAATGGCCCAGTCGAAATAGTGGCTTTACCCAGCTATAAAATCGTGGATCTTTCCATAGCTATGTAAACGTTTACCAGAGGGTAACCTCATGTAACCTCTGGGAGTTACCTGAGGTTTTGTGATGTGTTTGGCCGTCCGTGAGCTGATAGCAGTGTCATCTGGATTTTCTCGTAAATTTTCAGAGCTGGCAGAGCGTAAGGATGCTTTTCCGGAGCTGAGGCGAACTAAGCAATTCACTCATGACCCGACCAATAAGTAGCTGGCTAACCCCCACTGGTCATCCCAATACGGATCCATGATGATCCTGTCAGCATGCATTGCATGTTAGGAATAGCCATTTTGGGGTACCTCTGATCTTTGGTGGTGCAATAACCATCTTGAAAAATATGAATTCGTCAATGGGAAGGATGACATCCCATATATGAAAATATATGATGGAAAATAAAAAATGCTTGAAACCACCAACCAGTCTCATATTTGGACAAATCCGATAGTAAGCTAACTGTAAGTGTAAAATACGATGTATAATGATGTATATTCCATAAAATATCTCCATATCATTATTGGCTTTATCCTATTTTATACTACCATTTTCGGACAGCCCCAAAGCTCATTACCCCATGATATCACCTAAACAGATGTGTTTGCTCTTGTTGGTTCAATATTTCTCAGTCCTGGGTGGACTGTTTTCTCTTTCAACTCCCCCTATAGTCCATCAAAAAAATAGTGTCAAATCCCACTATAGTCACTAGAATCCAGCGAAAATCCAGCATCCTTAATTGAGTAGATCGTTTTCCGAGGTTTCCCCATGGGTTGCCATTAGGCTTTTCCTTAGGCTTTTCATGGCTTTTCCATGGCTTTTCCATGGTTGGTATATAACTCCAATAACTATGGTTTATGGTACTTAGAACTATAGTTACTGGGGCTTATAAACCAACTTATAAGTGGGGGGTCTCACACTGTACCTTTTCCACATCTTCCATCCCCCAACCAGTCCCCGCCGCGGCACCGACTCAGTCTCCTTCGCGCCGCAACGGTGGCAGGTGCTCTGCCCGGTGCGGTTGGCGAAGCTTCCCAGGCTGCAGGGCCGGCAGGTCTCGGAGCCTGCGGCATTTTTTGCGGAGAGAAAACGAAAAAACATAACCCATAGGATCCATGTATGGTATATTTATGGTAAATGTTACCATATATTTATGGATATATATTAACATTGGGGGTATATTTACCATAAAACTAACATTTGGGGTATATTGATGGTAAATGTTACCATATATAGCAGCACCATGGATCCTATGGGTAAGGAAAACATGGGGAACACCGTCATTTTCGTCATTTTCTATGATCTTTTAATGAAAGTTATGAAAGTTGAAAAACTGAATGTCATAAATATCTATAGAAAAGAAAGAACATCACATATCATCACTATTGATAGTTGAATTTGATCTACCATCCAACTATCAATCATCATCATCATCATCATCATCATCATCATCATCATCATCATCATCATATTATATATATATAATGTATCATTCCCAAGTGATGTGGAAGATAATTGATGGATGATAGATGAGATAGATATCTATCCATAAGTCCATAACCATCACTGATCTATTGTGGATGATTGATAGATGGATCGATTCTAAATTAGATATCTAAATAGATAGATACATGAATATCTATGATTCAGACAAGATTTAGGAGATTGATAGATGGATAGATTGATAAATGGATAGATCCAAAACTTCCAGATATGTGTTGTTATATGATTGATTTTAATATTGAAGATAGTTAGACATAAGATATACAACGGAGATCTTATTTATAGAACATACATAATATATCATAATATGTGGATGGTTGCGAAATCACCAGTTGAAGGGTACCATCCAAGGGGTGCAGGTGAACAGCTTTGATTGTCAGCAACAAATTCATCAGTCGTAAGTCCAAAATCCCAGGATATCCGAAGTCCCACATTTTTAGGCCATGTTTGATGCTTCCCTATTCTTATCCATGTTCACCGTTTCACCCCCCAAAACATCAACATACATCAACGCTAGACGCTTCCGGCCCCGCGGCACCTGGTTCCGAAGCGATGGAACCCAGCTCACAGGCCGTACAGGAAGAGGCTCGAAAGGAGTTCTGATAGAAGCCCGGCTCACAGGGCGAGCACACGCCTCGGAGTTCCCCAGCGGTTCTGCAGTTTCCACTAGCTGCTAGCTGGGCTATATGGCAGTCACAGAAGTTGGAAATTCCAAATGGGGGTCGTCAGCCATGACTTCTAGCCATAAAATAACCCCAACGGCACAGCCACGTGCTGTCCTTGCAATCCTCGTTTGCTTTTGGGATGTCACCTGAAAACCTGAAAAGTTTGCCTCGAAGCAATGTCCATTCTACTGTGGATTTTATGTTTCTGTATATAGTTGTTTATATAATGTTGTTTATCTATAGTTTTTTATCTTTGGGGAACTATATATATATATTTTTATCTATAGATATAGTTTCTGTATATAGTTTCTATAGTATGTTGGGGAACAACATTTTGAAAAATGATTCTGAGATGTGATTCTTATTGATTCCAAGAATTGGATAATTTTGGGTCCGGCCATTGGTACCTCATTTTTTGAGCGCCAATTGAAGGCAAGTGTTGATTTGTTCAGACCATACCAAACAGAATCAAACAGTACCCAAGGTATGTTCCTCTATTTACTAAGCTTTGCTAGGTTCATGTTCAAAATAAACCTAAGATGTTTATCTCCAGTCTTTACGAATATCAAGTCTGTCTTTGCGAATATCAAAGATTCGTGGGTTTGTCTGAAAATAGGGCCCCAATAAATATGGGGCAATCTTAAATGGAAAAATGATCATTCACCATAGTCACCATACCATCAAATTTTGGGCTACCCGGCTACTGAGGCTTTCAATAGTCATCGGGGTACCCCACTAGCTGGATGGTTTAAATGGTTTATACTGGAAACCCTCTATACTCTATACAGTCTATACAGTAATATTGTCCAAACGGTCCACAGATCCAGCTCTCCGACGTGTCGCGTCTCTGAACGCCCAGACACGAGTGGCCCCTTCTTTCTGCGAGGCGAATCCGGGGGGACATACACCGCAATTCACCGCTTGCTCACCTGCGATTTGATGTCCGTTCAAGCTAAAGAAGGTTTTTTTTTAGACAGTAAACCCCTATAACCCTATAGTAAAGATATAGAAAATAGCTGAAAAGTACATACGTATATTATTCATTATCAATCTGATAATCACTAGTTTGGTGGGATTGTTCTTTTCTTTTTGGGGGTTACAAATGAAAAAAGCTGCCATATGGTTTATCCATCCCGCAACTGGGATAATGGGAATCCTTACAATGAATAGATATGGATGGATAAATCCCTGTTGATGGATTGATGAGCATCCCCCAAGCCGGGAAAACAATCCATGGTTTGATATGTTCCATGTTTCTTCATGTTTCTTCATTTTTCCATGTTCCCCGCACTAAACATCATAATTAGACTTTGAGAATCCAGCATTTGAAGAGGAAAGTTGTCTTCCAACTACCAACTCACTGGCATGGTCAAGCTGTTCGGCGCCAATTTATCTTTCATGTGATGCTACTAGACTAAACATTGACAGAATTCTGGACCTCTAAGCCTTGAACGTTGACGTCAACGTGGACTAGTGGAAGATCCCATTCCCTTAGGACGAGGTCCAAGGAATTTTTATGGTTTGTTCTCTTGCGAAGCATTCCACCAATAAAAACCCAAGGGAGAAACATCACTGACCTGGGGACCCCCCGTTCAACTCCCAGTGGCGTTGCATTACAAAGTTTCCTTGCAAATCCACCAAGCCTCCAGCCGTCGTGGCGGTGATCAATGGGCCATGCCACAGGTGTTGCAACTGGTTTTCATGGCTAACCATGACACCTGGTCATATCAACCTAGACAGTCAGCCATCGGTCTACCTAAAACATGATTCAAATGACGATGCAGTCTTCGCCGCAAAAATGTGTTTGGGGGATCATCATCACATTTTACAGTGGCTGGGATAGAACATGAAAACTCAAGACATTTGAAACCCTCCATCAGATGTAGCTTTGCCATGCTTTGCCTGGACTCAACTGTTGACGGTCCTCCTTTTCAGAGTGCCGCTTCCAGTCTCTCAATTCGTTTCACCCGTGAAAAGTTACCCTCTGGTTATGACTAACAGTTTGCCATGGTATAGATGACCCATTGAGATCGATGGTTTACCTATTCATAGCATGGTGGATCTTTCCATGGCTATGTCAGTCATAACCAGAGGGTATATATATGTTATATTCACTATATGATTATTGTAATATATTATCATTGATTATATATTATGATATATTATGATTATATATTATGATTATATACTATGATTATATATTATGATTATATATTATGGGTTTTCCATGGTCAAGTCGTCCCGGCCTTTCCCCACAGCACAGACGGTCTGATCCGGCACCCAGCTCTTCCAGGCATTGGTATTTTCCTTCAACCACTGGCAGGCTGTGTCCTGAGAAAGCGGCGAAAGGTGGCAACAAAAGGGCATGGCCAAAGGTTGTAGACAGTTGCTATACTATATAGATCTATATAGCTGTATATGAATTCACTATCATTGTAGATAGTTGGACTATAATATGTTTATATCCAATAGTTGATGGATATGACCAGCTATCTATTGGGGAAATGATAAATATGATCCAACTATCCAATACAGCTTGTAGTTGTTGGATAGAAAAGGATTATATCAATGATATTCACTATAGATAGTTGGCAAAGGTTCTAACTCTTCACATCACCCAACTATCTATAGAGGATATAATTGAGATCATCTCCAACAACAGGGCGATCTGGTATCACGCCGGATTTTGAACTCCCGGCGATGGAGTGTTCTACCAGATTGGGTCTACGTGGAAACACCATGTTTCCATACGTGGGATGGGTCAAAAAGAGGTGGTTGATGGTGGTTGTTACCTGATTTCATCCACAGCTTGGCCAATGAATTTGAAGCTGTCACAGGCTGTAGGTCATCTGCCCAAGTCTCCCAGATCTCCGTTGCTCCATCATCTTGAAGGTTCTGCGCGTGCAACAACAGCAAATTGGAGATATCGCTTTCTCCTGGGAGCTATGGCAGCTATGGGAAAGCAGAGTTCAACGCTAAGATTTATATATAAAAATTGCCTGTAAATGGCTGGTGGTTTCAGAATTTCAACCCAGAAAAAACATATTCGGCAAAAACGTCGGGTTAAAGCCTCCCTGGACCTGGTGATTGTCGAAAAAAACACGAGTGCAGGAAATGACCCATTTTTGGCGCAAAAAGAGATCAAATTGATCAGACTAAGGTATATGTATATATATAATGTATATACGTGTTTTGACTGATTGATTGATTGATTGATTGATTGATTGGTTGGTTGATTGATTGATTACTTGATTGGTTGGTTGCTTGGTTGATTGATTGATTGGTTCGTTGATTGATTGATTGATTAATTGATTGCTTGCTTGCTTGCTTGATTGATTGATGAATTGATAGATTGATAGATGAATTGATTGATAGATGAATTGATTGATTGATGAATTGATTGATTGATGAATTGATTGATTGATAGATTGTTTTATTGATTTGCTGATTGATTTGCTGATTGATTTGTTGATTTGTTGATTCATTGATTGAATCATTAATTGCTGAATTTATTGGTTGATAAAAACAGATTGACGCAGATTAAGGCAAATTAAGCTTAAGACAGATTTAGATCGATTTTCAGATAGATTAAGATACATCAATTCTCTAGATTCTAAGATAGGTTTTCAGATTCATTTTAATATTTACCATAGCTATCATAGTTTTTTTTAGATGTTCCAGTACTATCCACTTTCAAATCCCAAAAATAAAACAGTTGGGTATGGATCAATACCCAATAATAGCATTTTTAGGGGGATGAACATCCATTTACCAGCTATTTTGATGTTCACCAGGGGTACCAGGTTTTGACACACTGCCAGTTGCCACGGACCCCCCAAAAAAAATCCGGCCCCCAAGCATCCAATGTTTAAATTGCTTGCCAAGCCGTAGGCGCGATCCGCCACCTCGCGTGGGAAGCATCTCCCGGGCGTTGGAAAAACCGATTGGAAAAACCACGGTAAAACTGAAACCCCATTGGAAAACTAAGGAAAAACCAAGGTAAACTGAATGAAAATGAAGTATGAAAAATAATTTTGACAATTTTGACTGCCCAAAAGTTGTTCAGCACTTGCAGTCCAGGCACTATATCCATCCCTGCTGCAGACCATTTGAACAAACTACGGCGACGTGGTGCGCTGGCGTAAATGCCGGCCTTGTACTCCGACACCTGGCAGCTGCATGGAGAGTCATCTGAAGGAGAGCCAAACTTTGAAGACTTCGGATGCATATCATATTGGTGTTAACTCGATATAAATGGAATTTTAATGGGATACAATGGGATATATATATATATAATCATATTATATATATACATGGTTGAATTATGATAACTTGATAACTCATTGACATGAAAATGCCTGAAACAAGGTAATTTCAAGAAAGCTACCACTACTAACCATTGTTATCCTTCGTTTCAGTGACGTGACACTGAGGTCATTATATTTCATCCGGATGTTATTTCTTTAGCAAGAACCCTGAAGCAAAAGAACAAGTCTTGCAACGATGTTGTACATGAGCATTGCCTCAAGACGTCCAAAACAGGTGCAAGAACCACGATCAAAACGAGAACAAGAACACAAACAAGAACATGACAACACAACCACAACAACAACAACAACAACCACAACCACAACCGCCACAATAACAACAACCACAATAACAACAACCACAATCACAACCCTCCACAACAACAACCCAGAGTATGAAACATTTCAGAATGACTCTTTAGTCGCTTCGGCACTGCCTCTGCTTGGTTTTCGTCAAGTGCAGCCTACATTCGCATCGTAAAATCCTCTAATGGAATGGTCCCTGAAGCTAGTAGATGGACAGCACCTTGGTCATAACCCAATAACTTTATACAATTCCAACAGGCAGAGGCTCCATGGGAAACTGCCCTTGCCACCCGTCTGGGATCATCCGAGATTCCGAGATTCCGAGACGTCCAATTTATCTCCATCACATCTTCATTTTTAGATTTTACATTCAATAGTCCAGTACATATCATAAAGAAGAGTTGTTCATATATGTTCATATCATATTTGAAGCACATATGGTATAGAAGATATCGAAGTGTACCATTGTGTACGATAAAAGATTTAAACATACTGTACCGTTGAAGTATCATTGAAGTACCATTGTGTATCTTAGGATACTATATACAGTATATATATACCGTTGAAGTACCATAAAGTGTATCAAAGAGGATATAGAAGTGTACTATGAATTGTGTGCACTTATGTCTCCTTCTCACAGCATCTCGGTTTTTCAGCTTCCCGAAAGCCCGTCATCCAGGTCCAAGTGACGCTGTGAGGGGGGAACACCAGGGGCATCCCTTTCTGCAGCACAAAGGTTTCATCGGGCGTCCACCAGTACAACACCGACCTGGATTCGTTTAAAACACGAGGGAAAAACAAAGGTATGCTGTATTCCCAGTGAATATACCGTAGGTTACACATGGTTGTATATAAAATAAGTCTGAATAGTGTAATATCACAACATAACATAAATTAATTAATGGAGTAGCAAAAATCAACATAACATAACATAATATAATATAACACAATACAATAGAATGGAATATAATGCATTACAATATAATGTAATAAAATACAATGCAATACAATATAATAAAACATAAGATAAATAATGATAAATAATAATAATAAATAATAATTAATAATATATAATATATAATATATAACATATAATATATATAATATATAATATAATATATAATATATATTATATAATATATAATATATATTATATAATATATAATATATAATATATAATATATTATATAGATAATATAGTCTATCATATAATATATCATATCATATATTAACATATCATATAATATAATATCGTGTACAATAATAACGCGTAATATATGTATATATAATCATATCAATAGATATCATATAACACAATACAGTATAATAATATAATATAATATGATATAATATAATAAATATGATATAATATAATATAATATAATACAATACAATATAATATAATATTTCGAGATAATAATTACGATACAATAAATACGTTATAATTTACCATTAATGTATACAATATAATATTGCATAATACAATCTAACAAAATATAGTAAGACACAGCAGTACGTTTTACACAAAAGTTGCCGTGTGATTCTTAGAACATCCTATCCCCCACGCCCTGTTTCAAGGCACTGAAATTCGCGGTTAATGGAGATGTACTGTTCGCTGATGGCCGTTGCAAATGCCAGCGGCATGTTGTGCCAAAATGCCTGTGGCTGAAATCTGGAAGGGTCAACCCTGGTGAACATCAGAGGACATACACGTACACATAAATATATATAAATATATATATGTGTCTATCTAATATATAGGCACCCCCAAATAAGATGCCGAAAAGAATGCCAGGATGGTAGTTCGATTTTCTGTTTTCTCTATAATTTCCAGGGTTTTTTGTTCAATTTTTTTTGGGGGTTACTAGACATACATGCCAGAAAAGTGGTGGTGCGGAGGAAATGTGAATTTGGTAACTCTTGGTATATATGTATGTAATTGTCTCATACTGTGTATGTCTATGCAGATATGATATCTATGCAGATATGATATATCTATGTGGATATATATACATGTCATTTGCTTAACCATACACATTCGTATATACAGTCACATATGTACAATACTGTACAAATATGCACAGATACATGTAGATATGTCTGCATAGATACATACCCTCCGAGCTTTTTTTATGGGATTCCCAGCTTAACATGTTTGGCCCATGCCAACAATGATCGAGGATTGTGATTCTGCATCTATGGATGCTGGTTTAGGGCCATTGAAAATCCCATGGATCACGTGGAAATCCATCCTGCAAAAGCCGTAGACTCTGTAGACTGTCTTCAAATCAACCAGAACTGGTTGCTGGTTTTAACATGTTTTAACCATCTTGAAAAATGATGGAGTTCGTCAATGGGGTTGGGATGACATCCCATATATGAAATGGAAAATAATCCAAATGTTTGAAACCACCAACCGGAGAAGGAATTGATCTTCCAAAGTTCAATCCATCTGAAGACATCTGAACGAAAACCCCACTCATCATCTCCCGTTGAAAACGATTGAACAAGGTTTGGAACCTCGGACCAGACCAAAAAAAATCCAACAGAAAACACACAATTTTTGATCACAAACAAAAAACCGATGGAATCTTTGTTCACCGGCTCTTTTCAAACTTTCGAAACCCTCCCGGACTTGGATCATGGAAAAAAAAACAGGCAACCCCAAATCAATTCATGTTAAAAACATTTAAAAACCATTGTTTCCGCTTAAGGTTCTCCAACCATTTTAGATGATTCGAACCCCAGTTTGGATAGTAAGACCTATGAAACTAGACGTCTGATACTGTGGTTGCAACCCTCGCCATTGAAATTTTATTCAGTGTTGTCACAGTTTCCCAAAAAAAAACAACCATTTTCATACAGTATATAAAATGGTTAAAACATTGTTAAAACCATAGTATGTTTTTTTAAAATCATGTTATCACCAGTTATCTTCATGTTTAATCATAAAATGGTTGAAACATGATTGAAACATGGTGCGTTTTGCACCATGGTCAATCGCGTTGTCCTTTGAAGCAATGGATTGGTGTTCACGGGAAAATCTTAACCATAAAACCTGCAGGTTTTTACCATCTGTAAATTTTCCCATCATCCAATTCTATGATAGTATATTTGGAGGTTTCCATTGGCATGATATCATCCCTAAATTTCCATTTCATCCAGAAATATCTATGTTTGAAGCACAATTTTCCCATCATCCAATTCTATGTTTGAAGCAAAACCTGCAGGTTTTTACCGGTTTTTACCATCAAATATAGGGGTTTTCGGTTCAAATGTTCCCATCATCCAATATCATCCAATTCTATGAGATGAGCATATCCATGGGTATCCTATAACAATCAACCCGATGGTAAGTTCCATGAAGCACCTGCTGGATCATGAAGTGGAGGCCCCAGCCAGCGCCAGACGTCACAACCGCCACGCAGCGCTCCACGTCGACGTCGTTGTTTCGACAGGCCGGAGCCACCCACCATCGATCCTGCGCCGGGCTGGGTGACTAGGGGATGCCGCGTCATGAGCTATGCATGTTTTACATATATATATATATATAGTATATAATACATAGTATATAGAATACTATTATATACATACTATTATACTACAACTATAACTATACTATACTATAACTATAACTATAACTATAACTATAACTATAACTATACTATATCACTGCTTATAATAGAAAACCGAAGAGTGTTTTCGAACACTTCTTTCGTTGGAGTTGACTGGGTTGATGTTTCTATCTTTTTTCGGGATCACTATAAGATGATATAAGATGTATATGTTGTAAAGTAAGTATGTGCATAAGTACGAGATGTCGGGTACCACGGGACTAGCCCTGGAGGAAGGGATTTTTGATGACTGAGATATATTGATGGCTTCAATATGGTTCGATCCAATCCTTAACTCTTGAGGATTGCTCTATTAGCAATATACTAGTAATATTTAGTAATATATTGTATATATCTTAATTAGCTGGTAAAAGTCAGACATGGTGAAGACATTTATAAATCCTTTGCCAACTTGTGGCATTCTCCTAGGACTCCAAAAGGCTCAGCCACATCTTGGAAGTGCAGTTCCAGTGAACTAAGGGGATATAGTGATATAGTTGTTCATGTTGTTTTTTCCAGGGTATCCTAACCGATCCCAACTTTTGGGGGTTAAAATACCAAGGTTACAGCCATTGGTTATTCCTTATTTTTTCACCTCAGCTGCACCAAGCTGTTGACCCTGTTGACCCTGGCACATGGCTCAAATCAACCTGGAAAACCACCAATCCCATGCATTCTCCATGATGGATTATATATAGCATACCCAATAACCCACTTCGTATAAGCCACATTAAGCCACTATGTATTTCAATCAACTGTTGAGTATTTGTCATGGCTCAATACAGAAGGATGAGTGAAGAGTACTCTCCAGTAAACTAATATCGATAAGGAAAATCCAGATGAAATATGGATCTTGTCCAAATGGGAAACAAGCATGCATGAATTTCCACAGCTTTTTCAGGTGGTGTCCCCCAGTGACCCAGTGATAGTTTCTTTATAAACCCATCGACTGTGGATATATCTGCCATAAAACAATCATAAAACCATAGAATTCACCTAGTTCTCCCTGGCGTATCATGTCCTTCCAGCACTTCAAGCGGATGGAACCGTTTCCAGCGTCTTCGATACCACCAAGGTCTCCGGTGGCATCCAAATACTCCTCACAAGGGGAGGAGTGTTTTTGGATCACTTGGATTGACCCCAAAAAGGAAAAGTAACTACCGGTATCTGGTTGGGGGTTTTAACCATCTATAAATGGGCAAATGACCATCTTTTAATGGAAAATCCATGGGTAAATTATCTGGTTGGTGGTGCAATAACCATCTTGAAAAATATGAGTCAATGGGGTTGGGATGACATCCCATATATGAAATGGAAAATAAAAGCCATGTTTCAAACCACCAACCAGCTATACATTCACCAGTCGGGCGGTGGATGTTCCGATGTTCCACAAATACGTCAAATCATCGACTCAGCACATCTAGGTCTGGTCAGGCAGCAAGTTTTGTCGGCCGTGACCGAAATCGCGACTTTCGCGTTCGACTTTCTGGTGAATGCTATGACCATCTCATCTCTGAGGGCCGGATTGGATATACACCACAGGTCAGTGCAGATCCATGGAGATTTCATCAGATACCCCTGGAGGAAGAGACGTGTTTCACAAGGCTGTTCCATTTGGGGCTCAACTGTAGACCATGGACCAGCTGTAGAAACGATTCAGAAGTGGCTACGCACCCAAAAGAAAACAACGGGATGTTTGAAGTAGGCCCGACGGTTGGATGTCATCCCAAATGGGAAGTGGTGTAATTCTGACCAATATTATATAACCTATATGTAACTGAGGGTATTACTCATGTATATTCATATATAATTCATATATATATATTATATATATAGCTGCAATACAGTATGGTTATAAACTTAAACAACTCTGATGTCCTAACTCTCCACAGCAGCTCCTATTAACAAATACAAGATGGGACATAGCAAACACATGGGGATAGAATAGCATGATTGTATGGATCAATATATCCAACATAATAAACAAGGTAGGCACAAAAATAGTTATATAATCAATGTTAATCAGCTCCTATTTCAGAATTAACCAATTTGATCCACATGTAACGAGTGGTTAAAACATGTTAAAACACATACGCCACGGTATTTGGTACTTAAATCAACCATTTTACAACCAATCAACAGTTGGGTACCCGCTGGTATACAATTAGTTACTGGAAATATCCTCCATTTAGTTCATTACAACCTCCAACAAAAAAAAACACGTGTCATTCATATGTTCCCATTCATAGCTCCATTTCTGGACCATCTTCATCTGGTTGGTGGTTTTGAGCCCTACCCCTCTGAAATCATGGAGTGAAAGCCAGTTGGGATGATGACATTATATGACATTCCCAATATGATGGGAAAGTCATAATCCAGTCATGTTCCAAACCACCAACCAGTCATTGATTTTCCCGGTACCCCTATGGATTTCCCGGTGAACTCAGTGAATGTTGCCATCGAGGACTCCTGGCCATACTCGGGGTGCAGCAGATTCACCGCCTCGCTGCAGGTCAGCACTCGCTCCGCCAAAATGTGTTGGACCTCGTGATGAAAACCCTGCAGTTGAGGTGACTTTGATGGGCAAAGCCATGGGTTTTTCATGTGTTTAAGCTAAGTTAGTAGGATTACCCCCACAACTATGGTCGTTTAAAGTTTACGTTGACCACTTAGTTTCACTGGAACCAAAGGCCCAAAGTAACAGTTTGACCAAGGGAATCGTTGATATGGGGGATGGTAACGGATAAAGATAGCGATAAAAAAAGCGATAACAATGGTGGTTCTCTCATCAAGAATGGTGCTTCAACAAAAGAACCATTGTAATTTACACAAACATAGTGAATAAACATGGTAATTTCGCCATCAGAAACAGGGATATACTGTAACACTTTGCATCCCTGGGATGGCAATTTACCATGGAAATGGCTCACCCACTATAAAGGATTCACACACCATGTTTGATGGATAAATCATGAAACTCAATGGGCTATTTATACCATAAGTAACTATGTTTACTGGAGGGTAAGACCTGGTAAGATATCAGAACCATCAACTAGAGGACATTTACCAAACATCATGATAACGGTTCACCCAGTCACAAATGAGGTACCAGTATAAATGGAATGAAAACAGCCATGGATCATTCACCAGAAATTCCTGGGTTCTCCCGCCTGAGCACAGTAAGTCTCTGGATGAAACCACGTCGCATTGAAATTGCCTTAGGCCGTCAGGGCGACATCCCTGTGGTACCCGCTGATTCTTCTGCGCGCACATTGGAGTGGGCTCACATTGAACCCATTGGAGGGGGCGAAATTCCCATGAGAGGCTTTAACCATCGGATCTTGAGGTTCCTCTACAGGGGAGCATGGCCAGAACTTCAAGATCATACAACTAGGTATAAATATGCTCCATGGCAGGTGTAATGATGTGTAATGTCCACCTAACTTAGCAACCTTAGATACTGGGGAAAAAAATATCTTCAAGTATACTGTAGTGAGATGTTATCTGGGTTTCACCAGAATTGTCTCCGTTCAGCCGCTCAACCCGGCCCCGGCCAAGTATGATATTCTCCATGTGTAGTGTACAATGTAAAGATATGAAGGTCTCCTAAAATGGGGGGTACCCCAAAATAGATGGTTTATAATGGAAAATCTGGATGATTTGGGGGTACATTTAGGAAATCTATGTATATATATATATACAATAATATATGGATACCTATGAATAGCTACCGCAGATGGTGCATGTCATAGCCCGTCCCTCGCAGGTCTTCCGAGTAGCTGTAGTAGGTCAATAACATGCCCGTGTGGGCCTGTGGCTGAAGTCGAGCCATGGAAAACATGTTGCAACAAGTTGGAACAGGGAAAAACAGGGAAAAACCCAAGCATCTTCGACAACTATAAATTTAATAAATGGAGATATGGCGACCTGGCGAACTGGATCAACACTGATCAACAATGATCAATGCAATTCCTCGGAGTTTTGATCCACTTCGCCATAGACCAACATCAAGGGGAATGCAAAGAAAAACAAAAAACAGCTGGCTTACCCCATGCCAGCAGCCACAATCAGCCACACCCAAATAGTTGGGAATGATGTGCGGCAGATGTGCATTGGAACTTACACAGCTGGCTTTTGTGGACATGATCCTCTCGTTGGGATTCCGAGCGTCGTCAGGCGTTCGAGGAAAAGGGTATAGACATCTACAAACTCTCTGGGATTTCCATGTCAGTTTGTATAGGTTTAAGGATAAGTTTACAGGAAATCGTGGTTTTTACCCAAAAATATAGATGTGCGTCCTCTCAACCAAATCTGGGGCACTCCATGATAATCATGATAATCTAAAGCTGTTTGGTTGATTTCATAGATGTCATTTCTAGTCTGGGATACTCAACCAAATGGACCTTCAAGATTGTTAATTTGATCTGATTCTACTATGGTTGTATTCCATTAAAAAAACAAACAAAACAACAAAACAACTAGTCTCTTATTCACAAGACATCAGGCATCACCCGATACGTCTCCAACGTATGGCCATACTGCGGGGTGTAGCCTATGTTCAGTCAGACACAAATCGTATCAAGCTGGTTGTATGTGCATGTGTGTATGTTTGATATATATTTATATGTATATATTCATTCATTAATTCATTCATTCATGCAGTTATTTATTTATTCATTTATTTATTTAGGTATATCCCATCATATCCCGATGATATTCTCATAACATTCCAATTATATAATTAAATCTGTATGTACGTATATATATAATACTATAATATAGTACGTTAGTTCAATGGCTATGTTAGATTATCAAAGGGTGGGTCCAATGTTTACGAGTTACCTGCTATGAGTAGTAAACTGCTCGTCATTGCATGTTGGGTTCTAAGATTTGCGTCCCCTAGTCGTTCACCGTGACATTGACTTGAAAGATGGCTCAAGATTATCCAGAACACTCTCCAAGGCCGGATGTTGCATGTTGGCACCCAAAAAGTGTTGTATACCTCGCTGTGACAGCCTCTTACTTGAGAACAGGAAAGTGGCAAATCTAGAGGATTCCAAGATCTTCCACCCAAGGATACACAACTACCCTCCGGTATCATCAAACGTGGTTGGCTGGAAAATCCCCATCTTTACAGATGATTTTCCCATTATGGCCTCCATAATAATTCGAAGATTTCCATGGATTTCCCAGCTACTCATTACCCCCCTCCACAGGATCTTGGAACGGCGCAACTTCCAAGGTCTTAATGTCGGGGCTTTGGGGCTTTGGATGGTCACTAGGGTACCTACCGGATGGTCAGTCACTAGGGCACCAGCGCTTTGAATGCTTTGGACTTTGATTTTTTTCGACCGGAAAAATGGGGGGGGGATGGGGGGGGGTATTCCAATTTGGTATCCTACTTTGAGGTGTTCCAGTTGGCGGTGATAGAACCATGATTTTGGGGTTATATCCCAACTTATGGGTCTTCACCATGGGCCCCCCAACACCGGGCCCGGACAGCCTGGCGACCCGAAAACCGATGAAACCGATGAACACAACACGCGCCTGTGATTCAGCCCGCGCACGTTCCAGGATGTACATGCCATCATAACCTGCCGTCATGAGCAGTGGTATACACCCCACTTAACGAGGTTTACTGGGTTTACCGCGTTGCGATCTTCGCTTTAAGATGCTTTAAGGTATGGGGTTCCACTGCATTGCTAAATTCTTTAGTCTGACTAGAGGACAACTCAGCAAGATTGGCATTTGACGACCCAAACATTGTGGTACGCACGAAATCTGGGAAAAAAGACTGTTGTCCAGGACTGTCGCCACGCCAATTTAAACATGCGCAAGGGAACCGGACTCTGGACCCTGAAGTTGAATTACATTTGGCTATAGGCCATAGTGCCTATACAGTAGCCAAATTATCAACAAACGAATCTCACCAGCTGATTCTCCTACCTAGAGTACCTTTTTGGAGGCGATGATTGGTTGAAATTGGCTGGTTCCCTTAGACAACCGTTGGGATATCTAGACATGCCATCCGTGGGAGATCACCCGCCTGCGTATCCGCCACTGCCCAAGTTCACCTCAAGGGGCGAGAAAGACAGATCTGCTCTGATCGAGAGAGACCACCTTTTCCAAACCCAAGCCTTTCATGGGGCTTCTTGAAGGGGGGTATTATATTGTATTGTATCTACTATATATATACATATGTATATATATATATATGTATATATATACATATGTATATATATATGTATATATATATATATGAATAAACATGTGCATCTTACTGACGAATTTTCGCGCGGGTTGTTCAATCCAGATTCGATGAAAAGCAAAAAAACAAAATCCTCCAGACTCCACAATTTTCCCTACATCCTCCGGGCCTCCGGAAACTCTGTGGTAATATGCATAGTCATATATTAATATGTATATATATATACAGTATAGCCAAGATGTTAAATTCAAGGTAAATGAATCCAAATTCAAGTCAAGTGGTCCTGGGAATACATCCATCATCACTATCTTAATCAATCAGCATCATCATCCAATATTTCCATCGAACTAAATAGCCATTTCCTTCCCATGGCTATGTTAAATAACCAGAGGGTATATATAGATACAGTATAGCCAAGGCAAACATATATTTCCGATCAAGGGCGTTTCCATATAAATGATTGAGAATGCATTTCCGGCTTTCCCATCCCGTCTCAGGCACTGGAGCGAATTGACCCATTTCTCGAAAGGTGGCATCCCATGCGGCCTCGGCGATGGAGAACCCATGGCATCCATGGCTGGTGGTTTTACCCTGAAAAATATGAGTCAATGGGAAGGATTTTTTTCATCTCTGGAAAATCATCCAAATCTTTGAAAAACCACCAACCAGATTGGTTTTCCCGACATTTCCTGCGGATCCCCCGGGACATCCCCCCCGATTTCCAGCCGTAGTTCGCGGCTCGCTTCGTCATTGAGGATCCAGAACATCACTACTTGGAAGCTTGGAAGTGCAGTTCCAGTTATGAGTGGATATATATATATATATAACTATATCTGGTTGGTGGTACACCTACCCCTCTGAAAAATATGAGTCAGTTGGGATGATTACTCCCAATATATGGAAAAGTTAAAAAAATGCTCCAAACCACCAACCAGAGATATATAGTTATATATATATATATTATATATATATATGTGTGTGTGTGTGTACACAACCATAGTTATCAGGGTTACATCCCAACTTTTTGGGTTTTAGTTCACCATGGTTTCCGCCATTTGTAGCCTCAACGTTCGCCCCTAACGTTCGCCCCTAACGTTCGCCCCTTCAGGCGAATCAAGGGTTGCTTGGTTATTAGACAACCATTTCATTCTGAGCACAATTTTTATAATTAAAGGTTGTTAATGACGACAGAAATGCTGCATAGTTCATCAATTAATTACGAGTACGTGCTGAATAGTTCATCAAAACTAATTACTTTTCATTTCTTGTCAATGATATTATATTCATCATGTATAGTCATATATCATATGATCATATATCGTCGTCATCGATTCTCATCATATCATTTGCCATCATATTGTTATGACATGCTATGAGTATAGATGAATATCATAGTCATAGTCATACATCTATAGTCATAGCAATAGTCATCATGGATTCTATAAATTCAAGATATTTTACATAACCATAGATATGTATGTATATATATAGTATGATTATATATGACTATAGTAATTATAATCATAATATATAATCACTTATAATCATATATTATTATATAGTGGGTATAACATATATATATATATTATGTATATATATATTATGTATATATATATTGAGAAATGACTATATATTCAATGTACTCACTATATCCATAGTCATAGTTGTAGTCACAGACATAGTCATAGTCACATAGAATCAAATACAATCAACTATAATCATATAGAGTGATATATCATTACGATTATATATGACTATAGGTTGATTCCTCATATATATATATATATGTACCTATATATATATATGTGTATATATATATATATATGACTATGGTACGGTGATATATATATATATATATATGACTATAGTGGTTATAATCATAATATATAATCAATGATAAAATATTAAAATCGTCATATAGTGGATATATATATATACCCTCTGGTAAACATACAAACAACTATGGAAAATCACCATTTTATAGCTGGGTAAATCCACTATTTCGACTGGGCCATGTTCCAGTTCGCTAACTGTTAGTTTACCAGAGGTATATATATATATTACCCTCTGGTTATTTAACATAGCCATGGAAAATCACCATTTTTAATAGGTAAACCATCCATAAACGGGCCATCTATACCATGATTATATATGATGATTATAGTATATTATCATTGATTATATATCATGATTATAACCACTATAGTCATATATATATATCATATCAATATATATCAATTAGACTCTATAACAGATTCTAACCATCCCCCAGCATCATTCCAAGCCCGGCCCAAGGTATTACCTTAGTATCCAAGGTGCCGTGACCGTGTCCTCCCAGGTCTCCAATGCAAAGTGAAAACGACGCGGAGATTTCCTGGCGAAAAAGGGACCAAGAAAAGCGGACATCGCTGGGGGGAAAATCATGGAAGAAGTTGAAGAAATCATGGAATATCTGATTGGTGAAATCATGGAAAATCATGGAAAATCATGGAAATCATGGAAAAATCCGGAGTAAACACCAAGAAAAACGATAGAACAGTTGAAATCTATCACGATTCCTGGGATTTTGAACCTTGATCTTTACGAGGAGGGACTCCTGACGAATACAATGAATCACTGGTTGGTGGTGAAGCCATCACACGATATGATATGCCTCAATTTGGATCATCATCCCCTTGCAGTAGGATTGAACAATATATATATATGCATATACACAGTATATGAAACTGCCTGTCATACGGACTTGTCACTACAAGGGAGATACGCCAATTTGTGGCAAGAGAAATGTGGGTATGATCAGCTATCAGCTTTGAAGTCCAGCGGAGAGCAGCCGAAAATCAAAGCGGCAATCCGGTGCTGGCGGTGAGTGGTTGGGGCTTTACATCCAACATATCAGTGACGTATGAAGGCAATTAGTTTGAGAATGTTCAATAGGTTTTTGCCATTGCTCGCGATAGCAAATTGTTATAGAAAGATAGAATACACTAACAAGTGATGAGCATATATCATATATACATGTATATAATATATATATATATACACCCATACATACTTAAGTTATGTATAATAACTATAACCCATTCTATAATACCATCCTACTGTAGAGGGTGCGGCCCCAGTTCGTCAGCAAAGTGAGTTTATAAGTCCTATAATTTCAGGGTTTACGGTAGATATACCTACAGTTTTAGAGGGGTATAAACCAACAAACATTTCACTGGGGGGCACAACCTTGTACGATGTGTATCTAATAGGTGTTCTTGGGAATATCAATGATGCATCATGATATCACAATATATGTACTAAATAACATGTGAAACTGTGAAACAGAAGCGACCAGCCAGCTTCTTGGCATTACATTCTCCCCTGATTCTTCAGACTCAACAGGGTCGTCTAGCTTCCAGCACTCGTTGATGCTCTGCATGGATGGAGGGCAACCAGATAAACCTCAGTTCAGAGATACATGTCGAGTTCTGGCCACAAGATGCTCATCTTGGTGCTTGATTGAAACCCCAACAAAAATAGATAAACATAGTTTAACTTTAAGTGTTGTTTGATTCAATTGATTCTGTGGTAAATCAATTTTAGACAAAAAAGACAACAAAAATCTGTATAGGTGCATGGCGATCTACTCCATACAGTAATTTGCGTGCTTTAATTTAATATAATTTAATAGAATCGAGACAAAACGATTGGCGCTAAAACAAAAACAAACAAAAACATACAAAGTTTTGTGTGAATTATTAGTTGCCTCCAAGTTGAATGGCTTATGCCCTCATTAGTGTCCCACTCACTAAGCTAGTGGTTGGGCCAGCGATCCACCGTGTTCCAAACATGACCAGTGGACCAGCTTGAAGCCGTATAGCCCAAGGGTTTCCTGTCCCCCAGGTTAAGTTACAGAAAATGGATTGTTTCATGGCCCATTCATAGAGGATTACACAAAAAATGATGATTTTTCCATGTTGACGATTCGTCATGACCAAAGTGATTTCAACAACTCCAACGTACGCTTGCTCAAACACTGCAAGCAGCTATCAACAAAAACATTTTAGTAACATTTCTTACCAGGTTGTCTCCTGGACATGGCAACTAACTCGAACTAATCTATAGTTCTGCTACAAGGAGTTCCTGTACTGAGGGGCAACGGTGCTGCGGGAAACCTACGGCTATGACACCTGCTTTTCCAAGTTAGTTTCATATAAGTTTTCACAAACCAATGGCACGCCAAAAAAAAAGAATATGGGTATGGATCAATACCTATCAATACCTATTAATATCATTTTTAGGGGAATGAACATCCATTTACCAGCTATTTTGATGTTCACCAGGGGTGCAAGGTTTTGACACACTGCCATATGATGTTTAATTATCAGAAAATACCAGAAGGTAATCACCAAGAAGGGGTGCCTTCCGGGAACATTGGTTGAACTCCAGGAAGCTTTAGTTATGGTCGTGGGGGAAGTTCCACCGTCTCCTTCAAACCACTATCCCTGTTGAGGATGCAGTATGGCACCCAGGGAGACAATGAGACGTGGTCGCATCTCTTCTCAAACCATCTAGTTTATCTCAAGGTTCAATCACCTTGTTTGGCTTGTAACTGACTATATACACTATATAACTTATATAACATACAACATGACATATCACGGCCCTATCGCCATAAGCATCGCACATTCCACTGAGCTTTTCGATAGCATGGTCAATTGATTTTATCCACAATAGATCCGAAAGCTCGGCCTCAATGGTCATGAAAGAAACACCACGAAGATATGGCTGTTTCTCAACTGATTTTCCGGGGACATCAATGATGGGAAGCCTAGGTACAAAACCCCGACATGCATAGGAATTTTCAAGGCTCACATTTGAGTCCTTGAAATTAAGAAAAAGCTTGGACATCGGGCATCCAGTTACACACGCACCTTCGCTAGCAATGGATGCATCTCACTCAACCCCATATATAATACATATGTATATATATATATACATGTATGTATATATATATATATGCACCAGGCCCTGCCACCCGCCCCCTCCCCCCCCCCACATGGGTTGGGTCCCATGTTGAAATCTTCCCCCTCCCCCCCTGTGGTGTGGTGGTGTGGCACTGTCCCCCTCCCCCCCCCTGTGGTGTGGTGGGGTTGTGGTATGGTATGTTGGGTATGTATGGTGTGTATGGTCGGTCTGGTATGGTTTGTTTGGAAAGTATGCTATGTTTGGTATGTTTGGTATGTATCGTAGGTATGGTATGTATGGCATGTATGTTTGCTATTGTATGTATGGTAGGTGTGGTAATTATGTTTCATATGTATAGTATGTGTGGTACGTATGATAGGTATGATCGGTATGGTATGCATGGCATCATTGGAAGGTATGGTAGGTACGGTAAATGTTAAGCACGTGTAGTGTTGTCAGAGCACACAGGTAGTAAATAGGAAGTAGATACATAGCACATGTATATATGACTATAGGTAGCACGTAGGCGTCACGTAGGTACTTTGAGGGAGTCTGTGTGCTGCGTAGGTCGCAGAAAAGGTAGCATGTACCTAGTAAATGAGAGGCTGGTAGTCAGAAATGCTGCAAAGACCTAGCAAATACGAAGCTGGACCTCAGAAATGCTGCCAATAGCTTGCCAATAGAAGGGAAGGGGGGATGCTACCTGGGGACCCAGCATTGTCCCCCTCCCCCCCCTGTGGTGTGGTGGGTGTGTGGTACTGTCCCCCTCCCCCCCTGTGGTGTGGTGGAGGTGTGGTATGGTATGTTGATGTATGTTGGGTATGTATGGTGTGTATGGTCGGTCTGGCTTGGCATGTCTGGACAGTATGGTTTGTTTGGTATGTATGGTAGGTATGGTATGCATGGCATGAATGGTGGTATTGTCTGGATGGTAGGTATGGTCGTAAGGCTGTTGTGTATGGTATGTTTGATATACAGTATGTATGGTCTGTATGGTATGCATGGTTACTATGATGGGCTTCCTATGTAAGGTAGGAATGGTATGTATGGCATGTATGTTTGCTATTGTATGTATGGTAGGTAGGCGTGGTAATTATGTTTCATATGTATAGTATATGTGGTATGTATGATAGGTATGATCGGTATGGTTTGCATGGCATCATTGGAAGGTATGGTAGGTACGGTAAATGTTGAGCACGTGTAGTGTTGTCAGAGTACACAGGTAATAAATAGGAAATAGATACATAGCACATGTATATATGACTATAGGTAGCACGTAGGCGTCACGTAGGTACTTTGAGGGAGTCTGTGTGCTGCGTAGGTCGCAGAAAAGGTAGCATGTACCTAGTAAATGAGAGGCTGGTAGTCAGAAATTTGAAATGCTGCAAAGACCTAGCAAATACGAAGCTGGACCTCAGAAATGCTGCCAATAGCTTGCAAATAGAAGGGAAGGGGGGGTGGTACCTGGGGACCCAACCCATTGGGGGGGGGGGGAGGGGGGGGTGGAGAGACGGAGGACGGGACCATATATGCATTTTACATACAGTAAACATTACTCCTCTGTAGTGGAACCTACTCAGGAATCTAAAATAATGCTTATTTTTCCAGCTCATTGTTGTCTCCTTTTTCTAAAAGGATAGTCCACAATTTATACGTGTTTGTCTGGAAACAGTGTAACCCTTAATTCAACGCTTTATCATAATTTTCCCGCTAAAATTGTTATACGTGTGTGTCTCCCATATTTCCAGACACACTCATAACATGTTTCATGAAAACATATCTGGTCACCCACCCACCACATCCCTATTGTGCTTGGTATTACCGGCTTACCCTCACTTTTGTTGGTTAAATCAATATAAACAAGAATCATCGATCTTACGTCACCCCAAAATCATATCAATGCATATTAATCTAGTTTTACTTGTATACACAAAAACAGAAAACATGAAAATAATATAATATAATGTATATATATATACAATATGTATATATATATATATATACATATGTATACATTATACATATATATATATATATATATATATGTGATATAATCATATCCATACAAGCTGTTTCATGTGGAAGAAAAACATGGAGAACATCCAAAAAAGTCACTCCACGAATTCCTCTGCAGATCCGAGAGGCGGTAGATCATCTCAGCACTCCCTTGTTCCAAACCATCAACCACATGGTATCCAACCACCTCGGTGACCGTGGCGCCCTAGAGGTGGGGTGTTTCTTAGATATCTATAGATATCTGCGGTTAATATACTGTTAATATATGGTTATTATATGGTTAATGATGGTTAATGTGAGGCCCCCCAGTGATGTTAGTTGGTTTAGATTCGCCCCAGTAACTAGTTCGTTATAAGTACCATAAACCATAGTGAAATTGGAGTTATGTTCACCAACTTAGCTATCTTGGGGGCCTCACATTGTATAGATATCTGCGGTATAACATAACTGGTTATAACTGGTTGCTGGTATACCTACCCCGAAAAATGATGGAGTGAGTTCGTCACTTCGGATGATTATTCCATTCCCAGCTGAATGGGTCATAAAAGTATATAAAAGTCATGTTCCAAACCACCAAACAGCTGTAGATGCTAATATAGACTAATAGAGTTTTCCACCTTTAGCTTTTCAATTCCCCAGTGCCTTCACGGCCTCAAGGTGGTGAAATGTCCACCGTTCAAAAAAAAAACGGCAGGGTTATCGGCAGATACCATGGGATTCCCAATTAGTCAGTGACCCCCCATTCCCAGTGACCCCCCATTCTCAGTGGATGATCCCTGAATTTCTGGGAAAATAGGCCACGGCAGGTTCTGGCTGAATTGTACTCACTGAACCTGACATGTTTGACCATCAAAAGGGATACTTAGGCTTGATATTCTTTGACATTCTACCGGTTTGTTCATGATAATCCACAATATATTGGGTAGTAGAACACCCTGTAGAATCATCTATCAACGATCATTTGTCAATATAATACATATATTTATATAATTATATATCTAAATTACAATATATATATATATACACCATATATCCCTATCTGTTCATGGTTGAAACCGTTAAAACCCCATCAATCATGATTAAATCCCCGTGAAATAACTAGTGAATCGTTTTTTTCCACGCAGCAACCACTGCCCACGTGTAACAGTGTAGGAATGTCAGCCATAACCATCCAAGAGCCCACATTAATGGGTAGGCGTACCAAAAACATCTGAATTAAAGATAGTAAACCACCATCTGTATCTATATATCTCTGGCTCAATCCTGAATCTGCAGCTCCGGACACAACACTCAGGTTATATACTCACACCCAATGTATTTCTTTCCGTGGTCTGATACTCTCATTTTGTGCACCATAATCCCCAGGATCTCTCACCAGTCTTGGGTCAACCAAAAGCCAGATAGCAAAGGTTCAAGATCAAAAAAAACATCACTCAATCCTGAAGTGTAGTATCTACAGATATATACAGTATATGAGTGTTCTATCTTTTTTGCTGGTTAATGTTTTTTCCCTCTTTCCAAGGAACCTCAGAAACCAGAATGCCAAAGATCTTGCTCACCAGCTCCACCGAATTCCAATTGCCCGATGCAATCCCTATAGGCACGGATACTCCTCAGATGGCAACGGCCGGCTTCAGAGATTTCCAGAAGACTTTACACGGATGTCCTACTGTGGATGGTTGCGAAATCCTGCACCAGTTGATAGATGGTTTATCCCATTATTTATAGGATTTCAACCATCCTTTTGGTGGTGCAGGATTTCTTCCATCCACAGCAGCTTTTTTGATGAAATGTTATTTGGGAAAGCTCTACTGAAATGACTTACTCTAGTTACCCCAAATGAGCATATGGGTACCATCCACAGAGCATGGAACGATATGGAACGCCTTGCTGACACTTGACTTCAAGTGGCAATTGTCAGGTTGCAATGTTGAAAATGGTCCGGAGAACAAGACACTCTAGGTATACAAGTGATATGGGATATTATGGGACAAAATGCAAAACCCAAACAGAAAATGACAGGACTCACTATCTCCAACCGTCATCACTGTCCAGTTTTTGGTGCCGGCCCACATTCACATTTTGACCCCCAAATTCATACCGGATTAGTAAAGGGGTATAGTCTACGGTATAGTTGGACTGACGACGCCAACCTCAATAAACGCCTTTCAATGTCCGAAGCATTGGAACTGCTTAGCAGTTGCCGCTCTCTCATACCAGCAAAAACGGGACCAGGGATGTCTCATATACGTTTCATAGCGGTGCTGTTTTTCAGTAAGTCCTCCATTGCGATAATCACCGTGAACCAGTCATGCGCAGTGTTGGTGACATTGGCTATGGATCTGGCTGCCAGGACCTACGAATCTAGCTGTAAACTTGCGGCCATTTGGGGACGTCGTCACGACGTGAGGTCAATCCATTCCAGATTTTTGGCCATTAAGGGGATGACAATCCATTCACCAGATACTTTGATGTGAACAACTCAAAGAGGGCCCTAGGGGGTTGACCCATCCCAACATCACTTTGAAGAGTTTATGAATGTGCGAATCTGCCAGGGTCCTAGGGTAGATGGATTTTCCCACGTGACCATTTTAGTCTTTGCAGCCTCCCAAAAAGGTGAAAAATCAAAATCCAGAAATAGTCGTGATTGTACTTTTCTTTCGGTCTTTTTGGGACTTAGGGCATGCCCAAAGACTACATTTCTGTATATCTTTTACATCATGAATGCCCCACTGCCCATCTCCAGGATATATTCACCAAGCATCCATCCAGCGTGACGTTCAGTCGCTGCCCCTCGGGCACAGCATGGTCCAGACATTGTCGCGCTGCACTTTGTTCCACATGGCTGGCAACTAGGAAAAATATGAAGATCCACATGACTGGAGCAAAAAATGTGCAGCGGAATGGCCTTTTTTGTTGGTGACACAGCATAAGAATGTTGGGCACCTGATGTTGGAAATGCTTACCCTCTGGTCAACTAACATAACTATGGAAAATCACCATTTTCAATGGGTAAATCCGCTATAAATGGCCATTTGTGGCAGTGAAACACCCTGTTGTTTCTTTATGCGCAATTAGCGCCAGTCAGTCCACACAATATCTCCGGGGGTCGGGATGATTCAGCAAGATTCCACAGGGTTCCTGGCCTAGTCAGGGTTGATATTCATCTGCGGCTCACATTCATCTTCACCATGGAAACACTGCGCACACCACAACTGACCATAACACTACCAAATGTTGATACATATTTTTCCAAACGTCTGCTGGCTCTATAAGAGTTATCCCTCTATTCCAGTGAAGCACCGCCCGACTCGAGAGGATCCCGTCATGAGAAGTCCTTCTTCCCAAAGACCAATTCTGTTACTGTTACTAATGTACTAGAAGAAAATCCCCAAGTTGGACACCCAAGACAACATCCACTTCACAAACCTTGGGATCCACGTTCAATCTTGTTCCAAAAGTGCTTCGGTGCGTTCACTTAGGCAATAATGATGTTCCAAATTTTCCCCCGCATTAATAGTGACTATATAGTGGGATCTTTGCATATCTTTGCCTCCTTGGTTTGAGGGAGATGCGATGGAGAAAATCCCCGCGGCCCCGCTCCGAAGATGGCTGGTGAATGGTGCACACCACCGTACCTCACAGACGATTTTGGTCGTGTGTAACATGGCAGTGGAAATGGGGAGGTCGCGCACCAGTCAATTGGGATCATCATCTCAGTAAGAAAACATCTGCCAGTGCTACCTGGACTGCCGCCATATCCTTCCTATGACTTTATGACCATTGCCATATCCTGCAACCATCGAAGGAAACTACCCAAGAAGCATCGTATGAGGATCAAAATGATGAATATCCCTGAACTATCGATAAAAATTATCTATTTATATAATATATATATATTATACATATATACTGTATATATGTATATATAGATATGAAATATCATTACATGACATGTCATTCATTTCCATTCTATATGTGCGAATCTATGGATTTCTCTGGAAATGGGGCCCTTTGTTCATCCAGGTGAAGTCGGCGAGCTGAGATCCCGAGATCGCCGGCAGCCACTGTCAGCCAAGTCCTTCACAATTCGCATGACCTCACGACTTCACTCACCGTGAAAATCTCAGGATTTCGAGCTCTTTTTGTTCCGAATCTCTGAGGTCTACCCGGCCTGGTAAACGTACAAAAAGCTATTGAAAATGACCATTTAGAGTGGATTTACCCATTAAAAATAGTGATTTTCCATAGTTACCTTAATTTACCAGAGGGTAATTCATAAAGCATCATTGCTGCAATGATTGAAGTGAAAAATCCTCCGACTTGCCAACAACTAGACGACGGATGGCCCGAGAGCGTAGAGGAGCAGGGTCTTCTCTTGTTAGTATGGAGACGCAATTTTAGAAACGATGTATGAAAGATGTGTTATAGGCAGTCGAGAAGAGGAGTATCAAGACAAAATAGTGAGAAGTGCAAGACAATAGTTTGCATCGCAAACACTTTTACACACAGACGCTTTTACACACAAAAGTTTTTACACACAGAAGCTTTTACACACAGAAGCTTTTACACAGAGGCTATTACACACAAAGCTGTTACCCACAGAAGCTTTTACATACAGACACTTTTACACACAGATGTTTTTACACACAGACGCTTTTACACGGACACTTTTACACACAGACATGTTTACACACAGACACTTTTACACACAGACCTTTTTACAGACAGGAGCTGCTTTTACACACAAACGCTTTGACACACAGAAGCTTTTACACATAGACGCTTTTACACACAGGCACTTTTACACACAAACACTTTTACACACAAACACTTTTACACACAAACACTTTTACACACAGACGCTTTTACACGCAGACGCTTGTGCACACAGAAGCTTTTACACACAAACACTTTTACGCAGAAACGCTTTGACACACAGACGCTTTTACACACAGACGCTTTTTACACACAGACGCTTTTTACACACAGATGCTGTCACACACAAACACATGTACACACAGAGGCTTTTACACAAACACTTTTACACAAACACTTTTACACAAACACTTTTACACACAGAAGCTTTTACATACAAACACTTTTACACACAGACGCTTTTACACACAAACGCTTTGACACACAGACGCTTTTACACACAGACAACCTCTACACACAGACGCTTTTTACACGCAAACGCTTTCACACACAAACACATTTACACACAGAGGCTTTTACACAGAAACACTTGAACACAAACACTTTTACACACAAACACTTTTACACACAGACGCTTTTACACACAGACACTTTGACACACAGACGCTTTTACACACAGACGCTTTTACACACAGAGACTTTTACACACAGACGCTTTTTACACACAGGCGCTTTTACACACAGACAAGAACGGCACAAGTAAAATCGCACTTTTACCTCAGTTTTCGCCGATCGACCCTCATTTCGCGCGAAAGGGTTGCTCCAGGACAAGTAAAATCGCAATTTTCCCGCAGTTTTTGCCGATCGACCCTCATTTCGCGCGAAAGGGTTGCTCCAGGACAAGTAAAATCGCACTTTTACCTCAGTTTTTGCCGATCGACCCTCATTTCGTGCGAAAGGGTTGCTTTAGCACACGTAAAATCGCAGTTTTACCTCAGTTTTTGCCGATCGACCCTCATTTCGTGCGAAAGGGTTGCTCCAGGACAAGTAAAATCGCAGTTTTACCTCAGTTTTTGCCGATCGACCCTCATTCCGTGCGAAAGGGTTGCTCCGGGACAAGTCAAATCGCAATTTTCCCTCAGTTTTTGCCGATCGACCCTCATTTCGTGCGAAAGGGTTGCTCCAGGACAAGTAAAATCGCAGTTTTACCTCAGTTTTTGCCGATCGACCCTCATTTCGTGCGAAAGGGTTGCTCCGGGACAAGTCAAATCGCAATTTTTCCTCAGTTTTTGCCGATCGACCCTCATTTCGTGCGAAAGGGTTGACGTTTCGTGACTCGCCGCCGGCACCACCCTCGGCCTTAAGAGAGAAAGATAAAAAGAAGGCATGAGAGAGAAGGTGAGCAGGTGTGAAGATAAGAAGATGTGAAGATGAGCAGATGTGAACATGAGCAGATGTGAAGATGAGCAGATGTGAAGATGAGCAGATGTGAAGATGAGAAGATGGGAAGGTGTGAAGATGAGCAGATGTGAAGATGAGCAGATGTGAAGATGAGCAGGTGTGAAGATAAGAAGATGTGAAGATGAGCAGATGTGAAGATGAGCAGATGTGAAGATGAGCAGATGTGAAGATGAGCAGATGTGAAGATGAGCAGATGTGAAGATGAGAGATGTGAAGAGATGTGAAGATGAGCAGATGTGAAGATGAGCAGATGTGAAGATGAGAAGATGTGATGGGAAGGTGTGAAGATGAGCAGATGTGAAGATGGGAAGGTGTGAAGATGAGCAGATGTGAAGATGAGAGGATGTGAAGATGAGAGGATGTGAAGATGAGCAGATGTGAAGATGAGAGGATGTGAAGATGAGATGTGAAGATGAGAAGATGTGTTACAGACCCCCACTATTGGAAGAACCCTGCGCTCAGACGCTCTCGGGAAAAATGCAACATTTATAGTTGACAATCCTTGATTTAAGCTAGCTAAATTGCTGAACATAATTCCAATATCCCAGTAACTTTGGTTTATGGTCGGTTGACGTGTTAAGAAAGGGTGATAATCTTCCATTTGCCTTGGTGACTTTCATCTATCTCAAACATCTGAAGTCTCAAGTTGGTCGGATCGTTTGGATTTGTGCTAGAAGAAACCAACTCGTTTTTCCTTTGGATTGGAAGAAGAAAGAAACACTTGGAGGAAAACATGATAACAAATGAGTGTCCCTGGAAAATATCAGAGTTTCCTGCAAATACGACCTTCATCACTTTGATTCATCACAAATCAAGTGTGTGTGTGTGTGTTTTCCTGATGGACTTGACAGAATAAAAGAGCTTATGTGAGTGCAGGGTCAGGCACCTAGAAACAACCATCTGCTATACTAGTTTGTCCAAAAAATGGTAGTCATCATGTTCCCGATTCTAAAGGCCATCAACTTGATGTATCTAGCCTATGTTCAGATACACCAATATAATAACAGCTTGGTTATACAGGTAGATATCGATTGATATTCATTTATGTCCCGTCTATTCCCGTGTTCCATCCCACTATATCTCAATGGCCATGCAACAGGAACCTAAATGGAGGTACCTACCATATATTTTTGGCCTATATAAGGCCTAAGGGAATATCCCCTCAAAATATGGCCTTACATGGTACAGTACCTAGATTTTAGAATCCTGAATTTCCCATTTTTCATATCCCTGTTATCAATCACAACAATAACAAAAACAAAAAAGGAAGGGGAAGAAGAAGAAACAGACTCGTCCAAACCCTCATCAACTTCGGTGATTTTCCCAGCTGTAAATATCTATCGGGGATTGTCCACCAGTTTATCGTTTGATTGCCAGAGATTTTCAACCACCACGTGGCACGTGCCACGTGGTTGTAACCGAATAGTAGCCTCTCGTAATTTAACATAGCCATGGAATATAAGGCCCATTTTTAGTGCGTTGGTTTACCTATTAAAAATGGTGATTTTCCATAGCAAAGTGTTAGTTTACCAGAGGGTAAACCATCCCCATTCATCCACATTCACCAAGCATTTGGGGGTGTTACATCATCCATATGATCAACCTCTGAGGATGATGTATGATTCGGATTACCCTCTGGTTATGACAAACATAGCCATGGTATAGATGGCCCATTTAGTTCGATGGTTTACCTATCAAAAAATGGTGATCTTCTAGTTCGCTATGTTACCCTCTGGTAAATTAACTTGTTGACCCTGA